CTGATGCTGCCAATTGGCCCAGTGGTGAGAATCTTTGTTTTCTTGTTCAGTCCATATAGGAGGCTGCAGTCCTTGATCTTCTGCAGCAAGTGCGTCAGGTCCTCCTCAGTTTCAGCAAGCTGGAGGATGTATTATGAGATGATTATGAAAGCTCTGTGGCTGTTGTTGTTAGGTGCCATTGAGTTAGATATGACACATAGCTGACTCTCCCGTGGGTTTTCAGAGGCAGTAATTGTACAGGAGGAGATTGCCCATCTTTCTCCTGCAGAGCAGCTGGTGGATTTGAACTATGTGCCTTTGAGATGGCAGCACAGCTCCTTTACCACTCGGTCCCCAGAGCTGCAACAATGGAAGACTGACTCTACTTCCACACACAATTAGAAGGTGTGTCTGTGGCACTGGGTGCTGTCCGTGGTGCTGATCTGCCCTCCACGGTGGGACAAAGTTGCCTCTCTCAACCCAGGGCTCCTGGAGGTGACTTGCACCATCTTTTCTAGGAATTCAGAAGTAGAAGGAATAAAGGGTGGACATGGAAGAGAGAAAGAGCAGAAAGGCAGCTGAGGGTGGGCGTTGGGAGAGTGCACACACGGTGAAACTGCCAGGGTGGGTGAGGGGTGAATCCTGCTAGCAAAGAAGTAACTAAAACAGCGCAATGACAGACATGGAATGCCCACAGAAAGGTCTAAAAACTGTATGTGCTGAAAAACATAAAGTTGTAAGTTTTGAGATTTTTTTTAAAAAAAAACCAAGTTTCTGTGGGCGAGTGGTGGGTCAGGTGCCAGCTGGGTGGAGATGCCATGGTTACCATGTTAGCAGTTCAAAGCTCTCAGATTATTATTTTTTTTAATTTCCTGGAATGATGAAAGCAACACTGTTTTTATTTTGAAAGAGCATATATTGTACCAGCGCTCTTTTTTGTGAGGTTGTGTGGTAGTGGGGGTGGGAGAGCAAAGAGTACTCAGTTCTTCCCGGTTAATTTATCAGTGAATCAACAGCAAAGAAAACAGGCCTTTACACAGACGTTCATGATTTCTTGGAAAAAAGTAATAGATTTTAAAAAATCCATTTGAATGCCCACATGAGAACTAGAAGGTTTCAGGTGTAGACAGCTGAACTAGTCTATACCTGAACTTCCATGAACTATAGTTGGTCTAGGCCTCCAGAACATTCTGATACACTTCCACTGTCAAATTAGCATCTTGTTGTTGTTATGTGCCGGCGAGTCATTTGCAACTCATAGCGACCCTATGCACAACAGCCCTAAACCCTGCTCTATCTTGCGCCAACCGCACTGCTTCCGACACACCCATCCCGATTACCCCAGTCACTGAATCAATCCATCTCATAGAGGGTTGTCGCCTCCTGCGCCATCCCTCCACCCTCCCAAGCATGATGTCCCTCTCCAAGGACCCGTCCCTCCTGGCAACATGTCCAAAGTATGTCAGACGAAGCCCCAGAATCCTTGCCTCTAAGGAGTAGTTTGGTTTAATCCTCTCCAAGACGAATCTGTTTGTTTTCCTGGCAGTCCATGGTACATTCAGTACTCTTCTCCAGCACCACAGCTCAAAGGCATCAACTCTCCTTCTGTCCTCCCTAGTCATTGTCCAACTCTCTGTTGCATAACAAGCAATTGCAAAGACCATGGCCTGTATCAGGCGCACCTTAGTCTCCAGAGAGACACCGTTGCTCTTGAGTACTTTAGAGAGGTCCCTAACAGCAGACTTTCCCATCGCGATACGCTTTTTGATTTCCTGACTGCTGGTGCCAAGAGTGTTGACTGTGGAGCCGAGCAAACTGAAGCTGTGAACAATCTCAATCTCTTCGCCATCCATCCTGACGCTGCCAATTGGTCCAGTGGTGAGAATCTTTGTCTTCTTGACATTGAGCCTCAGTCCATACTGAAGGCTACAGTCCTTGACCCTTCACAGCAAGTGCATGAGGTCCTCCTCAGTTTCAGCAAGCAGGGTTGTGTCATCTGCATAACGCAGATTGTTAATAGATCTTCCACCAATCCTGATGCCACAATTCTCCTCATAGAGCCCAGCCTCTTGGATAGTCGGCTCTGCATACAGGTTGAAAAGGTATGGAGACAGGATGCATCCCTGGCGTACACCCTTCCCAATTTTGAACCATGCAGTGTTACCCTGCTCTGTTCTGACTACGGCCTCTTGGTCCAAGTATAGGTTTCACATTAGCACAATTAAATGTTCTGGGATTCCATTCTTCTCAGAGTCAGCCACAATTAGCATCTTACCAAAGAAAAATAGCCCCTCCTTCCCAAGACCTACCTTTCAAGTTGTCACTGAGGTAGATCTTATACCTCAGGGAGTTGCACAGAACGACCCCCACAAACTTCCTGTACCATGTCCGCTTCACATACTGCCGGCCGTGACAGTCTGTGTAGCCAGGGTCGTGTTTGAAAGTGAATGGGATCCAGATGGGCTCCCCACCTTAATGACAAGAAACACACTAAGTTCTGGTGTCCTGCAGCGTTTAATCCCACACGGCATGGCAGGAAGTGTAGTTATTCACTCACGGGCCTGTCCCTTTATACAGGGCTCAGCTGAGCAAAGTGTCTGCTCTCATCTGTCCAATCAGATCCTTCTTCTCCTGCCCTTCCCATGCAGACATCCTTCCTTTTAAACACATCTGAGGCATTTGCATTGCAATAAAGAATTATCTGACTTAACCGAATTATCTGACTTAACCGAAATCCTTCAATCCTAAAGCCATAATGTTGAGTGTGACATTTGGGGACAAGGAACCACCCTCAAAGCCTCTCAGCACAGCCTCCTGGATTTAAGCAACAAAGACGTATCAGTTTGGGAAAAATGTAAAAATTGGTAGCATACATTTTGCTACCTTTTGATAAATTTAAAGAATCCAAAAAGATTATATAATCAAACTTACATTATATCCACAGACTACCCCATAATGGCTTTTCACAGGTATTGATTGGGATGGCCCTACCGAAACATTCCCAGATCATTCTTTTCCTTAGCGTAAGGAGCAAGCAAATCATAAATGTTGTCAGAAAATAATAATAATAATAATAATAAACAGTTCACTGGTTTAGATTTATGAATAGCTTCTCTTGGTGAGTAAATCTAACAATCCCATATCTAATAGTGAACTTGAGTACAAGAATGTCAAGATGGCCAAGGAGGCACTTACCTGGTGGCCTCACCACAAGCAGAGGATTGTCTGTAGAATGAACAGAAGATAATTGTTATCACTATCACATTTCACAAGGAGCTCTGGTGGCATAGTGGTTAAAGAATTCATCTGCTAACCAAAAAGTTGGTGGTTCAAATCCCCCAGCAACTCCATGGAGAAAGATGAAGCCATCTGCTTCTGTAAAGATCACATCCTGGGGAAACTCCATGGGGTCACCTTCCTCTGCTCTACAGGGCTGCTAGGAAGTGGAAATCAACTCGGAAGCAGAGGTTTGCTTTGAGAGTGTATCACATCATAGACATGCCAATGGTAAAATACTTCCTGTGCTACTCAATGCTACTCCAATTGGAACAGATTTGTACAAATAATGTTTGATGGGAGCCAAAGGCTTTCCTTAGTCTCTAGTTTCCAAGCATTTTCACTTGAAAAAAATTATCTTTTCTAGTCATGATGCTTTGCTCTTTATACAGAAATTGTGGGTCTCTGAAAACAATAAGATTTGACAAAGGAGGTAAAAAAAGAATTTAACTGATTTACTATTTTTTAAAAAAATCTTTCTCTTTGGTCTTGAGGGAGAACAGAAAAAAAACCTAACATTTCACTTGAGTCCCGGAAAATCTGCTCACATCACTTCCTATTCTCAGGGAGCTTTCAGACCTGAGATTACAGGGGTATCTGTAGGTTTGAATGATCTGGTTTCTCTACAGACCCTTTATCATATAAATTGTGGTCACTGTCAAGAGTCTATTTTATTTTTGGGAAATAAAGCCGCAACCAAAGAGCTACTCCTGGCATTAGCAAAACAACCAAATGGTGCTGCTGGTTGTTCCTTCTTTTTCTTGATTACTGGGGAGAAACACAAAAGGAGGCCTGATAGCATAATGTATAATGTGTCGGGCTGCTAACCAAAAGGTCAGTGGTTCAAACGTAGAAGCCACCATGTGGGAGAAAGATAGGTGGAGCCCTGACAGCACAATGTATAATGTATCAGGCTGCTAACTGAAAGTGAAGTGTTCAAACGTAGAAGCCACTATGAGGGAGGAAGATAGGCAGTCTCTTCCTCTCAGAAACCCAGTGGAGGGTCGCCTAGACTTGGAATCACCAGATGACAGTGGAGTGGGAAGTGAGCAATAGACTTCTTAAATGCAATGGGTTAAAAATCCTCTTGAAGTCTCTGTTTATATCCAGTTTAATACTGTCATAAAATATTGTCTTTTTCCCCTACATATTTTGACTCAGTAGATTTTTAGTCATTACACTTACAAACACCTTAATACATCTGTGGAATAAGACATTGGAGAAGCTTTATATCAGCAGCCAAAACCAGGCAAGGAGCTGATTATGGAACAGATCATCAACAAAACAGGCAAGGAGCTGATTATGGAACAGATCATCAACTACCTACATGCAAGTTCAAATTGAAGTCGAAGGAATTAAGACAGGTCTACAAGAACCAAAAGATGGCCTGACGTGTATCTCAACTGAATTAGAAAACTATCCTAAGGATAGTTTGACACATTGGACACTAATTACTAAAGACCAGAGGAGGTGTGGGAAGACACCAAGGATGTCACCCACGAAGAAAGACAAGGGAGGAATTTAAAACACCAAATGGACGTCAGAAGAGTCTCTGAAACTTGCGTAGGAACAAAAAGACACCAAAATAAAAGAAAGGAATGCAGAGGTAAGATAGTTGAACAGATGATAACAAAAGGCAACTTAAAGAGGACAAAAGCAAAGTATTATAGTCAGTTGTGCAAAGAACTGGAATTAGGAAAAAAGGGAAGAACACAAGATTTTTCAAGCTGAAAGAACTGAAGATCAAATTCAAGCCCTGAGTTGTAACAATGAAGGACTCTATTGGCAAAATCTTGAATGATACAGGAAGTATTAAAAGAAGATGTAAGGAGGCACACTGCCAAAAAGTTGACCCAAACCATTTAAAAAAGTAGCATATGATCAAGAACCAATTTGAAGAAGTCCAAGCTGCACTGAAGGCATTGGCAAAACAAGACTCCAGGAATTGATGGAATACCAATTGAGGTGTTTCAGGAAACAGATGAAACCCTGGATGTGTTCACCAGTCTCTGTCAACAAATTTGGAAGACTGCTAATCTGACAAACTAACTGGAAGATATCCATAGTGGTTCCGATCTCGCCACCCCACCCCACCCCCCAAAAAAAGGTGAACCAAGGAATGTGGAAATTGTTGAACAATACAGAAGTGCAACGATGTCAGTCTGGAGACTAAGGTGCACCTGATACATGCCATGGTCTTTGAAATCATTTGCTATGCATCAGAGAGCTGGACGATGACTAGGGATGATTAAAGGAGAACTGATGCCTCTGAACTGTGGAGCTGGAGAAGAGAATTGAATATACCATGATCAGCTATGAGAACAAACAAGTTCTTCCTGGAGAGGGTGAAGCCAGGCTGCTGCAAGGATTCTGAAGCTTTGCCTGACAGACTTTGGACATGTTGCAAGGAGGGATCAGTCTTTGGAGGGGGGACATCAACCTTGGGTGGGTAGAGGGACAGCGCAGGAGAGGAAGACCCTTGATGAGATGGATTGAGTCATTGACTGGGGTAATGGGGGTAGGTGTGTCAGAGATAATGAGACTGGCATAGGATAGGGCAGAGTTTAGGGCTATTGTACATAGGGTCACTATGAGTCACAGGCAACTCAATGGCACATAACAACAACAACATCATTAAGGTCACAGGCTAGTAAAATTCTGCTGAAGAGTATTTAAAAAAGAGCTGAAACAAGTTCTTCAGAGAACTGCTAGGAATTCAAGTTGGATTCAGAAGAGGCCATTCATTGTATGAGAGAGGTCATTGTTGACTTCTAATAAATCTTGGCTGAAAGCAGAGTATGTCAGAAAGATGTTTAGTTGTGTTTCATTGGTTATCCAAAGACATTTGCCTGTGTGATTTAAAACAAATAATGATTAACAGTGAGAAGAATGAGAACCTCAGAACTCTTAATTATGGGAAACCTATACATAGACTAAGAGAGCTGTAAAGACAGAATAAGGGAAAAGCGTATGGTTTAAAATCAGAAAAGGTATGTGTCAGAGTTACATGCTTTTTCCAAATCTACTCAATCTGTACACTGAACAAATCATTTGAGAAGCAGGACTATGTGAAATAGAATGTGGCATCAAGATTGAAAGGAGATTCATAAACAGCCTAAATTATGCAGATGACACAACCTTGCTTACTGAAAGCAAGAAGACTTGAAGCACTTATTGCAGAAGATTAAATACTACAGTCTTCAATATGAATTTTATCCCAACAGTAAGAAAACAAAAATCATCACCGTTGGACCAACAGGCACTATCTTGATAGACAGACAGAAGATTGAAGTTGTCAAGGATTTAATTTTATTTGGATCCACAATCATACCCTTTGGAACAGCAGTCAAGAAATCAAAATACATATCACATTGGGGAAATGTGCTGTCAAGGATCGCTCCAAAATTCCAAAGAGCAATTATGTCAGTTTAACGACTCAAGTGTACAATTGCTTCCTATGCATCTGAAAACTTGAACAATGAGGAAGGATAACAGAAGAATCAATGCCTTTGAAATGTGGTGCTGGCAAGGTCTACATGGCCTGCCAAAAGAACAGATTTGTCTTGAACAAAGTGCAACCAGAGTGTTCTTTAGAGGCAAAGACACTTCACCTCACTTATTTTGGGCATATTTTTTCAGGAGGAACCAGTCCTTGGAGGAGACATCATGCTGGGAAAGGTGGAAAATCAGTGAAAGAGTCAGAAAGACTCTTAACAAGATGATTAACACAGTGACTACTTGAACAGAGACATCACAAGGATGACACGGGCCAGGTCAAGGGCCAGACCTGATCTTCAAGGGTTGCAATGGTGGGCGACTTGATGGCGCCTATTACAACTAGGGTGTGCCTGACTTGGGCCATGGTCTTTTTAGACACTCGCTCTGAATGTGAGAGCTGGGGGCCGGGAGAATTTATTCCTTTAAACTATAACATTGGAGAAGAGAGCTGATGGACTGTCAAAAGAACAAGCAGGCAGGTCTTAAGAGAAGATGCAGCCAGAGTAATCCTTGGAGGCAAAGACAGTAAGCTTAGTCTCACTTATTTGGGGCATGTTGCTAGGAGAGGTTATTCCTCGGAGAGGGACATCACGCTTGGGAAGCTGAAGGTGAAGATGAAAGAGAGGAAGACTCTCAACCATGTGGATCAATACGGTGACTAAGGCAAAGGGCTTGAGTGTGTCAGAGATTGTGAGGATGGCACAGGATAGGACAGGGTTTAGATGAGTTGTTCATAAGGTCATTATGAGTCGTACTCTACTTGATGGCACCTAACAACAACAACAACAAAAACTGCAGGGGGCAGGGAAGACAACATGGACGGGAACAAGGGTGCCCACAGGGGCCAGAACCAGGCAGCGACAGCCGGATGAATGGTGGCACGGGCAGCAAATGTGAGAACAAGGAGGTGCCTGGGATGGCCTCAGAGCAGGAGGCTGACTGAGGCCAGGGCTACTGAGGGGGAGGAGGCGCTGCAGGCCCCAGCCCAGGCCAGCTGCTCCCTGCCCACTTTCAGAACCCTGCCCTTCACGCCTTTCACCTCCTCGGCCATGCCTCTGCCCCTGGCACCCTCAGGCCCATCGGCACCTGACCCAGATGATGGAGAGGATTATGAGTCCTAGCGCCTCCTGCCCCCCTTTAACTTGGTTTTAGCTGCTCCGGGGGAAAGAGAGAAAATAGACCTACTCCTGGATTTATATCTTTTTTTAAAAGGAAAAAATAAAAGGGAATATTGCTATCTGTCCCCAAAGAAGCAAACAAAAAAACAAACCAATAACAACAACATGGACAATCTTCCAGTATTATGCTACATTCACAGCAAAATAGAACAAAGTGGAAATGGGAACCCTTTTTGTGATAGGACTGACTCAGCTGTAAGCCCGCCTGCCTCAGGACCACAGGTACAAAAATGTCATTGACACAAGAATGGCCACAGTGGGCCAGCTGCCCGTTGGGGTCTCTCAGGCCAGGGACCACAGGGACAGCTCATTGAGGAACCTGATGTGCAGCTGCCACCTGCCTGTTAGTGGAAGAACTGGCTGGTTTTCAGATGTACATCACCATGACCGTCAGGAGGACTTCCAAACGAAGACTGGGAAGAAAGGCCTGGTGACATACATCTGAAAGCCAGCCAGCAAACACCTGTGCATCTACAGTGAGATTACAGGGATGCGTGCTCAACTCTGCAACTTCATGACAAATCATTGAGCCGCACATGGGAGGGGAGTGGGTCTGTGCTGCAGAACATACGTCAGTGAAGCTCTTTTAAAGTGATCACTGCCAAGTCCTCCTACCAAAGGCAGGATTTCAGGATTTAGTTCTGTGGAGAAGCGCCCGTTTCTCAGATGAAATTACATTTATGCTCCTCAGCTGTTTGTAATAATAAAAAATTACTCCACACTAACTATTAAAACAGATACATGCAAACTTGTTATCTTTTTCACATTGTTGAAAACTAGGGTTTTGTCCCTTTTATTGGCATTTAACCTTTCCCCTCGCAGGGCGGCTCCAGTGAAGACTTTTGGTTCAATGATTCAAGTATTAACACAGGAGAAGGACAAAGAGATTTCTTTTATAAAGAGAGACCCAGTCTGAACTTATTAAATAGAACAGTAAAGAGGTTAGTTTCCAATTTTATCTCTCTGGGAGCCATCGTGCTCGATTACTCGTGTTGTTTTGAACAGAAGAGAAAACAAGCAGCTTGAAGTCTTCCATACCTGATTCTGTGACGAAGGACACTGAAGGACTCATGGGCCCATAGCCGTGAGGGTTTTTGGCTTGAACTTTAAAATAATACCTGAAACCAGAATAAAATGTTTTTCAAAGACAAATTTTTAAACGGATAGAAAACTACGTAGCATATACTCTATGCTTTTGTTGTTGTTAGGTGCCCTCCAGTCAAGTAAGAGTCGTAGACACCCCGTGAACAACACATCTGAACCCTGTCGCGTCCTGTGCCCTCCTCACAATCTCTGGCACACTCAAGTCACTGTGTCAATCCATCTGGTTGAGCGTCTTCTCTTTTGCCAACTCTCCACCTTTCCAAGCATGACGCCCCTCTCCAAAGTATAGCTTTTCCTGACACATATCCAAAGTCTATGAGATAAACCTTCACTATCCTTGCCTCAAAGGAAGACTCTGGCTGCCCAGGGCTAGGGCTGGGACAGTTTTAAACGTTTTACTTTTGTTCTGAGAGAATACGATATGGAATGTTTCACTGAGAGTGATAAGCATAGATTATATCATATTCATTCAGAACATTTGTATTTTGAAATAATTTCTCAAAATAACACAAATAGGGTGGGACAGGGAGAAAAGTGCAACAATGAATGAAGGGAAATCCAAAATCTCTGTAAATGTTCATTAAAATTAATAAAATAAAATTTTAAAAATAAATAACCCAAATAATGTAATAACCCTACGGCCGTGTGGATGCCCAGGTCAGAGGCTGCGGTGTATCGGGCTCACACTCGGCATGCGGACAGGACTTAGGACATCAGAGTTATCACTGCCCACGTAGCTCTTTCTAGTTCCATCTCTGACAAGATGCTGACAAGTCTGAGGAGTCTCACCCCAACCATCTTAGACAGCGGTTCACAGTCCAAGAAGAGAACCTGGAGCAGCAAACTCAACAAAAGCAATTCTTAACTCAGAGTATAAAACTTAATCCAGTTCTTATCCTGGAGCCCAAGGAAGCAGACAGCAGACTATGTGACCCAAAATGATACAACTCACTCACTGTTGGCAGAGAAAGAGAGAGAGGGAGAGACAGACAGTGAGAGAGAGAGAGACACAGAGAGAGAGATAGAGACACAGAGAGAGAGAGAGATACAGAGACAGAGAGAGATACAGAGGCAGAGAGAGAGACAGATATACACAGAGAGAGAAAGAGAACACACACACAAACACACAGATAGAGACAGAGAGATTGAGAAAGATAGACATACACAGAGAGACAGAGACAGAGAGAGAGTGAGAGACAGAGACAGAGAGACAGATGGGGGTGTGTGTGAGTGTGTGTGTGTGTGAGAGAGAGAGAGAGAGAGAGAGAGAGAGAAAGGGAGAGAGAATGAGATGCTGGCCTTCTTTGTAGAACTAATGTGACATTCATGACCCGACAAATGCTACACTAATTCTGGAACTAAGAGTGGGTGGCCTTACAAGTCACTGAGTTAATGCTGTCCAAGCTTCTGTGTTCTGAGGAAAAGCAGCCCTTCCAAGAGGTGGATGTGGAAAAGAAAAAGTTTTGCTGAAGATTAGACTTGGGTGGAACAGTGAGTGTGTGAGGTAGCACTTTCAGTGGCCAATTAGGTGAGAGTCTTAAAACATCTTATACCCCACCCTCCCACGCTAAAGACACAATGTGGATAACAAAATACCAGAGACCAATGGCGAGCTCTGGTTGCCTAGTGGCAAGAAGCTGCACTGCAATCCCAGAAGTGCATAGTTCTAATCCACCAGATGCTCTGATGGAGAAGGAGGGACAATCTCCTCCTGTACCAGTCAGATCCGATTTGATGGTACACACAAAATTAATAATAATAATAATTAATAATAATAATAATAATACCAGTGGCCAGCACCATAGGTGGACCCACCACGTCTATTCTGCATCTTCTGTGTTTTCTTCACCCCTGAGATTACAGACACCGGGGGTGCTCTGACCTTCTTACAGGTGAAGAAAACCCAGCCTAGACCCATTGTCAGTGAGCTGCTTATGCTTGGCAGCAGTAGACTGGCTCAACGACACCTACCACAATCCCATGCCCAGCTGGGGGATCTGACAGTCGACAGGGGGATGTGGGGACACGTATGCAGGTGCAGCCTCTGCGCTCTGCCCCAAGACAGCCAGCAGGTGGGCACACGGGGGAGGAGGCTACAAGCATGATGCTGATCTGTCTGGGGGCTGAATGTAAGGAAAGAAGTGAGGGTGAAGGAATAGGGAGCCGAGAGGTCTTAGGAATGGCCAGAGAAATCTCTCACTCCTGGCCCACACCACGCCCAGGGCCTTATTATCCACATCGGACTCATGGGGACCCTCCACCAAGTTTCCAAGCCTATAGCCTTTTTAAAAAAATTTTTTTATTTATTCATTATTTTATTAGCTGAATAATTTATCTCAGTACATTGTATTAGATTAATAACTAGTGATTACATAGTCATCATTCTAGGAATTTATAGTCTGCAGGAAGCAAATTTGAAGCTGGCAATGTGCAGAGATTCTTTACGCTTCAAGTTATACATAAAATGAATTGACTATAAAGATTTGAAAATTGCAGCTAAAGATAAATATGCAGACAAGACATTATGATGTTGTTGTTGTTGTTAGATGCCAGCTAAGCCTTTTTTTAAATAAAATATATTTTTAATTAACTTGCATGTCCCTTCCTGACAGTTCTCTCCCTCATCTTTTTCAATGGAATATACATCATTCCTCCCCCTCTTCTCTGTCTTCCCTCAACCCTGATGTCAGTCTCGTTTTACAACAGTGGCCCTATGCAATATTTGTCCTTTTGTGACTGAGCTTTTCCCTCAGCACAATGTCCTCCAGGGTCACACATTTTGCAGAAGGGAGAAGACTGCCCACCTTCCTCCCACGGAGCTGCCAGGGGCTCAAACGACTCACAGCTCAGTTAGCAGCCTGCATGACACCCTGCGCCTCCTGGGCTCCTTCATCCTCGGGCCTCACTCGGGCATCGGGCATCGTCTGTGCCTCGCCCCACATTCACCTTCCCCAGGACCCACTGCGTCATCTTTTCATTTTCCTCCCCCAGGGGTGCTTCCCCACTGCCCCTTCAGTTCTGTGCTCAGGAAAAAATCCTCCAAACACATGTTCTCATAGTAGAGTCCTCTCCACAAAGCACTTAGTAGTGCATCCTTATTTTTATGTTAGTTTTGGGAGAAAATCTGTCTCAAGTGGATTATAAACGCCGTGGTGACAGAGCTTGGTGTATTTGTATAGACACACTCAAATATGCACGTACTCATAAACACATGTACACACACATACTTATGCATACACATCACTATGAGTCGTGCTCGACTCGACGGCAATCAACAACAACGTACTCAAACACATAAGTGAATGTTCACGCATGCACATATGCACACCTATCTGTATACATACATGCATGAACTCACACATGTGTGTGGATAGTTAAGCACACACATGCACATACTAATAAGCAGACACGAATACACCCTCACACATGCGCATGAGCACAGACACATCCTCACACCGTTCTCTTGTCGTCATAATCTAGTGCCCAGCAGAGACTGAACACCAGACAGGACTTAGTGAATGAGTCACTGGCACTTAATAAATCCTTGTTGAAGCAAGGACTAAACCATCATCCTCCGTAATCATCTCCTGACAATTCCAAACCCAGCATCACTCTAGCCACACAGTTTTAGGAAGGACATCGGACTGGAGGACGGGGATCAGGAGGCTGGGATTCAAATTAGGCTGCTATTTATAGTAGCTAGTGGGCCTCTGCTAGTGTTGGGTGTGTTGTGTGTGTGTGTTTTAAATTTTCTTATTATTATTAATTTTAATGAAAGTTAACAGAGATTTTGGATTTCCATTCATTCATTGCTGCACCTTTCTCCCTGCCCACCCCTCCCCCCACAGTTCACTCTTCTCTTTGAAAAGTAAAAGAAAAATTCTTCCATTGTTACACAATCCCTCCCTCTTCTAGTGTTTTGATGTTGCAGGCATACTGTAGAAGTATTGTCACTACACATAAAAATTGAATGGTGGCCCCATTTTCTTTCATTTTATTGAAGGTTTGTTTAATTTTTAATCAGGTTTTTATCACGATTCTCAATTCATTCGCATCAAGTCAGAACCAACTCCGCGCTGTCCCTGCACTGGGTTTCCAAGTCTGTAAATCACATGGGCAGAGACTGCCCACCTTTCTCACGCAGAGCTGCTGATGGGTCCAAAACACCAGCGAGGTGTGGCCTTTGGGCCAGCAGCACCCTACTCCTACCGGGGTGTCGGGAGGAATTTAAGTGCTGACTCAGTTTCCTGTTTTGCTGCTCAAGGAGCTCTGGTAGTGTAGCACGTTACATGTGGGGCTGCTAAGGGAAAGGCTGGTGGTTCAGATCCACTAGCCAGCCATTCCATGGAAGGACGATGGACAGTCTCCTGTGAAGACATTTACAACCTGGAGAAGAGCAGAGGGTCACCATGAGTAGAAACCGACTCGACAGCAGTAAGTCCAGGTGGGTGATTTTGCTATTTGTGTCTTATCCAGTCCTGAGAATCACAACGTATATGGAAGAAGCTCAGAAGCTCAGCGCAACTGAGCCCACTGACACATGAAAAGCTCCAATCTTTCCAGAAGCTATTCCCCCCCCCCTTAGCATATGTCTGTTTAATGAGAGCATCATCCCAGCCTTCTCTGTGGTCCTGTGACTGAGTGGGAAATGAGAGACCCAAGTTAATGATCACATCACATGGAACCCTTTATGAGGCAAATAAGGTGACGGTCTAATGGTGGCTCCGTGGGGCCATTTGTTCTGGCTTGGACGAGTCAATGGTTAAATGCAGAAGGATCTCCAAACCACACCGGCAGCTCGATATTGACCATGCTGGAAGTATTTACGCCAGAGAAATTAGCAAATGCTGCAAATCATGGCTTTCTACTTTTGGAAGGCATGCAGAAGCCCTGGTGACACAGTGTTTAAGCACTTCACAGCTCACCTAAAGGTCAGTCAGTGGTTTGGATCCAGCAGGGAGAGACATGTGGCAGTCTACTTCTGTAAGATTACAAATTACAGGGTTTCCAAGGCTCAGACCCATTGGTGAGGTTCTGCTCTGTGCTGTAGGGTCGCTACGAGTCAGAATTAACTCAAAGCTGTGAAGTTTTAGGGGAGCAGGTCCCTTTAGCAAATATCACTGTATAACTCCCATGGACTCACCACTCTCCTCAGGCTTACGGTTCAGCAAAGGTTTCCTGATGATTGTTACCATTGAAACGAGGCAGGAAAAGAGAGGAAATGCACACTCATCCTCTTTGGACCTCTGAGAGTACACTTTGCATATGGCACACTCAGGGCTGTAGTCACTAACTCCTTGACTTGCGCTGGCCCATCAGTCACTGTTTGGTACAGGAAGACATGCTTGGAACCTTGACTAAGGTGTAACGTGCATCTTCCTTGGATGGTATGAAGAGCTCCATGATGGTGCTGGAGCATCCACTAATTAAAATGTTTTACCATGGCTATTCCATTACTTCCACACATGGAAGTGATGTTACCTGGATGGCCAAAAAGTAAATGCACTTGCTTTCAACACAACACAATGAACAAACTTCCTCTCCCCAGTGACAGTTGCTGTTGTTGGGTGCCATCCGGCCAGAACTGACTCACAGCTGACCCCTCTAGCAGATTTTCACACAGGAGGAGACTGCCCATCTTTCTCCTGTGGAGCAGCTAGTGGATTTGAACCATATGTTTTTGGTTGGAAAGTATTTAACGAAATACAGGCAGTCCTCAGTGTATGAGTAAGATCCACCTCTAACAGTGTTTTTAAATATTTGTAAGAGGCATGTGTGGGGCACACTTAGCCCTACTTTAGTGCAAGAACAGGCTAGAAGCCTTTTCAGTGATTTAAAAGATGAATGTCTTTTCACCCAGATCCTTTGATGGGCAAGGTCCAATGGTGATTAATTTTATAAACACAATGCATGAGAATGATTGTACAAAACACAATGTGAATGAAGAATAGTGTGAAACACAATGTATGTGAACTTTGTAATCATAGCTCTTTAAAAATATTTTTTAAAAGATGCATGTGCAGCAAGTGAAGCTATCATGAAGAATTCACTGTACACAACGGTTGGTTCTATCAGCTCAAGGCGAAAGCAAACTGTCTTGGAGAAAGTACAATCAAGGTACTCCTTAAAGGCAAAGATTTTAAAACTGTGTCTCACATATTGTAAGCAGGTTGTTAGGAGGGGCAATTCCTTAGAAAGAGATATCCTGTCAGGAAAGGTGGAAGATAACGAAAGAGAGGAAGACCGTCAAGGAGATGGACTGACAGAGTGACTACAGTGGGCTTGAGGACGCTGGAGGTTGTAACAATGGCACAGGATCGGGTAAGGGTCAGATCTGCTGTTCTTAGGGTCACTGTTGCAATCAGGTAACAGCAACTAGCAATAACAACTGCTGTTGTTGCTGGGAAACCGTTAAGTTGGTCCCAACTCACAGTGTAGACCAGTCCCTCAGTGTCTCTGCGGCTGTAAATCTTTAGGAGAGCAGAACATCTCATTCCCCCCTCCATGGGATGATTTGTGGATTTGAATCAGCATCTCAATATTGAGCCTCCAGAGTCACCAAGGAACCTCCTCGCACAAATTAATATAAAATTTAAAAGCAAGAAGGTGTTGTCAGTAAGTTGGATGTCCACAATCATGGGCTTGCCTGTGTAAGTAATATAACCCAACCACTGCAATGCCAATAGTAATTTCCTCCTAGGAAAAACACCTGACATATCATAACTATTCTTTGACATTCTGTGAGAACTGAACAGAATTCAAAAGACATAAAAAAATATGTTTCGAGCAAGCCTTCCATTTTCAAGTTAAGGTCAATCTGTGACCATGCCAACAAGGTCCAGTTTTGGGTTGGTAAGTGATTGACACTTCATACCTTGTATTTGGCTTCAGGTTCTCAATGGGCAAATGAGTCACCGAAGATGCTTGAGTGGACCACTTGTTTCTAATGAAGTCTTCATAGGATGCACTGTAGACCAAGTAACCTGCAAATAGAAATAAGGAAGAACTCATTGGATATCAAAGAGCCAAATTCACAAGAGGCATCACCCAGAGGAGATGCATAGAGATAAAACAGAGCCAGAAACAGCTCCGTGGAAAAGGCTCCGAAAGAGGGCCTATTACCACGCCTAGGAGATAACCCAACAACGCGTGATCATTGGTACTTCACAAAGAGCCATTTCTGTGACACAAAAGTGAGTGGAAGCCAGCAAATGGGCAAACAGCAGAAGCCAGATAAACGTGATCCTGGAGTCCTCCCCAACAGCTCCCTGAAGAGATGAACTCTTTTTATCAACAGACAGTTAGTGAAAACCTGTGAAGTGGTATGTGATCTCCAGAGGATTCTGTGACGCTATGATGTTGAACTCAAAAGTTAGACAACAGATAAGAAAGACCAAAGAATATTTGATGCCTTTGGATTGTAGCATTGGCAAAAAGTATTGGACATACCATGGTCTCTTTGCCAAAAAGAACAAACAAATGTCTTGGAAGAAGAGCAACTATAGTGCTCCTTGGAGGTAAATGTGGTGTTAAGGAGGGTTCATTGTTCAAAATGGCTTTGCTGGCCATTGCCATTGCCATGTGGATGGGTGGGAATATGTGATTAAGGTGTATTAGCCTATCCACATGGTGATTGGCTAGACTCATCACTGAGTTGAGCAAATTCAGCAGCAGATTTGGAGAATCTGAACACCAGCAAAGAAGAAGCAAGAGAACGAAGTGTACCCTTCAAGGCCAGAGACTCTTGTATCAGCAAGTTCAAGGTCTACAGGAACAGCAGCAGCAGTAGCTACAGCAGACTGACATGAGATATAACTGTCCTTGGGACTGCTACCCCATGGGACCAGAGCTCAGTTCCTTTTTCCCCAAGATTTTTGGAGGACTTGGGCTGCAGGGAGAACCACAACTGGCAGGACCAAGAGCTTTGTTACACTTTCCTGCAGGCTGAAGGCTGAGGTACCGGTGAGTACATTTTGGAAGCTGTCCCAACTTAGTGACTGTATCTGTTACCAATCTGAATGATAGCTTTTTTTACTTCATAATATGGTCTGTGTGGTCTGTGAGCTTTTGCAATGGATTTTTGGGCCCAGTAAAGCAGTAAGATTGGTGTTGGTATGAGTAGAAAGAGGTGTGGGAGCGTGTTTAGCCTCATAGGACTTGGTTTTGTGTTGTGGGTGCTATTGACAGGGACCGTTCTCCTTTGTGGAGTTAATAGAGGTCATATAGGTCTGTCCCCATGCAGTCCTTGTCCCTTTTACATGAGGATGCTGAAATTCTGTCTCAGATACTTGGTGCATATTGTTAGTGAGAAGCCAGGCCTTGGAAAAAGACATCATGCAGTAAAAAGTCATCTGAAGAGAGGAAGATGCTCAAAGAGGTGGACTGGCACAGTGAGTGTAACAATGGACTTGAGCATGGAGGAGATGTGAGGAGGGCAAAGGATAAGGCAGGGTTTCCTCACAGGGTCACTATGAGTTGTAGGCAACCCAATGGCTCTTAACAACAACATGATACTGAACAGGTTTCAGGGTGGCTTCCACACTAGAAGGAAAAGCCTGATGACCTGCTTCTGAGAATTAGACAATAATCACGGTAAGGATCACAACAGCCAATCGTGTTGCACACTGTGTCATCCTGAGTAGGAGATCAACCTAATGGCTGCCAACAACCACACACACACACACACACACACACACACACCTTCTTTAGGAGGTGCAAGAGCCAGTGCTTCGTTTACTCTCTGAAGATGAACTCTGCTATCTTCTCCTTCTGGGGTCTACTCTGTTTCCTGCACATTGAGGAAAGCTGCCATTCACTGAAGTGTTCTACAGCCATCACTGATAAGAGGTGGCAGAACTCTAGCTCAGAGTGCCTCATGCCCCATATATTCCTCAGCTTTAGTTTGCTTGGTGCCACAGTCAATACTCCTGGCAACAGTAGCCAGGAAATTAAAAGACGTATTGCGATGGGAAAGTCTGCTGTTAGGGACCTCTCCAAAGTTCTGAAGAGCAATGGTGTCTCTCTGGAGACTAAGGTGCATCTGATACAGGCTATCACTTTGCTATCTTTTGCTATCTCTTTGCTATCACTTGTTATGCAACAGAGGTCTGGACAATGACTAAGGAGGATAGAAGGAGAATTGATGCCTTTGTACTGCGGTGCTGGAGAAGAGTATTGAGAATACCATGGACTGCTAAGAAAACGAACAGTTTTAGTCTAGAGAGAGTTAAACCAGGCTGCTCCTTGGAGGAAAGGATTCTGAAGCTTTGTCTAACATACTTTGGGCATGTTTTAAGGAGGGACCGGTCCTTGGAGAGGGACATCATGCTTGGGAGGGTGGAGGGACAGCACAGGAGAGGAAGGCCCTCTATGAGGTGGATTGATTCAGTGACTGGAGTAATCGGGATGGGAATGTCAGAGAGAGTGCAATTGGCACAGGACAGAGCAGAGTTTAGGGCTGTTTTACAGAGGGTCGCTATGAGTCGCAAGTGACTCGATGGCACATAACAACAACAACAACAGCAACAACAACAGTATTTTTGTCAGTGACTTGAGCAGGCTTGATCAGCGTGCAGGGGCTAGTCCCAGGTTAGGTGTGGGTTTGTGATGGATATAACGGCACCATCGATGGGAGTGCAGGAGGCTTGGGATGCCTGACCGGGAACAAGATCAACAAAACCATCTATGTTCAGAAGCACGTCTTTACAGAATGTTACAGGGATTGTATCCAGAACAAGTTCTAGACGCCTGTTTTGGGAGTTGTGTTCTCTGAAAGTTCTGTCCTAGGGGCTCAGGCATTTGGAGCTTAATGCGGCATCCCAGATTCTCTTTCTAGACAGTGTTTCATGAAGATTGTATAGAAACTGACTCCTAGCTGACCCTCCAGTGGATTTTCAGAGACAGTAAATTGCACGGGAGATTGCTCACCCTTCTTTTGTGGGGCAGATGGTGGATTCGAATCGTGTGCTTTTGGGATTGCAGCGCAGCTTCTTAGGCCATGAGTACTCCTCATAGCATTGTGATATATTTTATGTTAAGCAATGCCTATTATACAATAGGACAAAAGCCTTCTAGCTGAAAGTCGGGATTTGGGTTATTTTTTTTTTTTTCTGTAAGCTTGCCTTCCTGCTTGCTTTGAAAAACTGCCATTCACAAAACCATGTTCAATTAATAATGGGATTTTGGTTGGCAACTGAGAAGTTTGCTTTTTAACAAGCATTTACTGGGCTTCATACTGCGCCCGTGCAGCACACATCCTGCAGGGTCAGCACTTCTGATTTCTACCACAGGCTCACATCCACCAAATCGAATTCCTTTAACCACCGCAGCTCGAATGCTCCTGAGAAGAAAGGATGGTGAGAATTCATCTCCCTTGTTTTCACGAGGGACTCAGAAGGATATAATGCTTAGTAAACCAGAGGGTTGGCTAAAAAGAAGACCCTCAATGAGACAAAGGACACTGGCTACAGCAATGGGCTCAAACATGGCAACGAATAGAAGGATAGCACAGGACTGGCCAGCGTCCATCTCTTCGTACATGAGGTTCCCTAGGAATTGAAACTGACTTGACAGCATGTAACAGCAACAGCAAGCACTTCACCTGCACTTTGTGGAATTCCTACAGGAATCCTTCCGTAAGTCCCTATTCCTGACTTCTTTGACAGCTGGGCAAACTTCTTAAGAGCAGATCCTTGGATGTTTCGGGGTTGGGTTTGTGGGGGTTTTTTTTGTTGTTGTTATTTTCCCCCTTCATTTTAAGAGATTATATTTAGGACTTAAAAAAATGAAAGCACTAGACATCTGTGAGTTATATTAATAACACCAGCATAATGGGGTCAGTATGCCAAAGTCTGACCGTATATGTTGTCACCACCCTTCGTCCAAAGACACCCTATCGCACACGTGTTCCTTCCTCTCGTACAACAGTTTTAAACGCTGCGGGGCAGCTCTACATTACACATGTGGCATTGTCAGGAGTTGGAATTGACTCAACAGCAATTAACAACAACATCCTCAAGCACATCTTAGTCGACTTAGATGGACTCATGAATGCGGGCCAAGACCCAGACTTAATTAGCTCAAGATCCTTGGGCATTTCCTATCACACTCAAGCCTCACATAGAGAATCCAGAGTCATCCATGCTAGTTTTGTAACCAGTTGATATGGAAAAAGAGAAGGAAGCAGAGACTCAATTCTGGGAATGACTCTGATACAGGACAATGTACACAGAAGCCAGATCTGGACTCGGGATCTGAACTTACATGCAGCTGTTTCACTCCTCAGTCACTTGGAAGATTAGAAAATGTTAGAGATTTAACAATATTTTATAATAAATAGCTATCTCAAGGTCACACAAATCAGTGAGGACTAGAAATCAGGTCTTCGGAGCCATTCAGTGCACTTTTCACTATTCCACAAAACTTCCCTCACTGCCTGCATTGCATCCTGTTGAAGGAAGACATCTGCATTCAGCTATTCAATGCATCTACTCATCCATCTATTTACTCATCCGACAATCCAACCATCATCCATCCACCCATTTATATGCCGATTCAACCATCACTCTGTCTATCCAGCTATTGGTCAATCCTTTCACTCACTCACCCAGATACCCATTTATCCAGCCATCCATTCCTCTCTCATTCACTTATCCATCAATTCATCCCTTTACCCACTCATCTATCTACTCACGCACCCTTCTATCTTTTATGATCTGTGTATACCATAGATCAATGGGCACTCAGAGCACATTTCTAGAACACACCTGTCACCACGTCTCCTGGGGTAGCTTTGTCCCAGTCCACGATGACAAATGAGTGACAGCCTTCCATAGCAACCACTGTGATGTTTCTGGGAATGTGCTGAGGGGGTAGATCGCTCTTCCTCAGGTCATTTGGAATGATCTCATCCAGGCTATCCACTTGGAAGTGATCCAGAGCGTCAGTCAGCGAGCACGGAGCTGCGAGGTCCTTATTTAGGTATGTCACATAGGGAGCTGGAGAAGAAGAGACATTCACTTAGATCAGTGAAGGTTATCTCAGGGGGCAGAGACATAGCACCTCTCCAAAGTCAGCCTTGCCATTCCGTCTCTCCCTGGCAGACACGGCTTCCAGGTCCATTCATCTAGATTCCAATATCAAAGGTACTTCCCCAGATCTCCCTAACAATCCCTCCCGGACCCACGTTTATTTTTCAGTCTGATAGCTTCAAAATATCCTGCTTCCCCATCAATACTAATGACTAGGTCCTCAGAGTAACTGAGATCCAAATTCAGTGTAACACACACCTCCAGGGTCTCTCCATCCTGATGCCCAAACATTTGGGAAAGTGTAAGCCAGGCCCAGCTGTCACTTAATTACAGTTCTCTCCACTCAGCTTATTACTAGATTATCTTAGAGCCAGAAAAAGATGTATCTTCTGGAAACTGTGAATGTTGGTAAATGACGATAGTAGTGGAAGGGCTTCGGGCCTTCTGTTCATGGAGACACTACGAGTCATGCTTGATTCAATGGCAATCAACAACAACACAATCAAGCAAAATTAATGGCCTCTAGTTGGCCACCCCTCTGCCTTGGCTGATCTTCCCTGGTGGCTTACAACTCCCTACAATCATCTCAACTATCTGGGCATAAAACCAAGTCTGAACGCCTTTCTAAAACATGGCTTTTCAATACAGCACTAGCCATTTACATTCAGAGCAAAGGCCAAACTTCTCCACGCCGATTATTTCAGTCTGCACAAGAGCCCAGTGAGCGAGGCAGGATGTGGGCTGTTAGGCCCCTGCGTCAGCTGAGGCTACTGATACTGAGAGGACCCTCAGTACACAAGGTCAGGCAGGAGACTCTGTGGTTCCAGACCACATTTTACTATACGGTTCATCTTATTCTATTCCATTCTTTGAACGTGCCAAAGGATAGAGATTGGGACTTGATGCATGTAAGACTCCCAGGTAAGCTCAAGTAACAATTCCGGACCATCTCTAAACATTCCAGTGCATCTCTTGTGACTGGGTTCCCTTTCACTAGTAGTTGTTTGAACAGAATGGAATTTTTAGCCCTTCTGTTTTTCAGCGGAAGATCCGAGAAAGAGAGGAAGATCCTCAACAAGACGGATTAGCACAATGGCTGTAACGGGTTCGAGCCTATCAGAGACCATAAGGACGGCACAGGACAGGGCAAGGCTCCAATCAGTTGTCCCCTAGGTCACCATGAGTCACAGCCAACTTGACAGCATCCAACAACAAGATTTTCCGATAAGCTGTGAAATTATTTCAAGTTTCATGGGAAATTGTTTCAAGTTGCCCATGAATCTCATTAAGAAGCTTCGCAGAGTAGTTCTTTGACTCGACCTTAAAATCCCCAGCCAATACCCGGTCTTGGACGCCTTAGAAGAGTTCTTTGACCAGCCAACAGCAGGACTAAAAACATGTCCCATTCTATCATGGAATGGGAAAGAGGAAAGACAGAGTCTTGGCAAATTCAGCCACGGTGCCATCCTGCAGAGAAGAGCATTACACGTGCCTCGGGAATGCCACCTCCACTTCAAACCCTGCTCTTCGAGCATGTAGGCTTCACGTGAACACATCGTGGCTGGCAAGAGCTGTTGTCTGCTCATATCAGGACGTTTGTTTTGGAAACAGAAACGTGTGATATTAGTTTAAGCTGTTTCTTGTCTCCAGAATATAAGAGTCCAAGGGCATGGGAAAGGAAGGCTTACAAAGAGAATCAAACAGGCTTTCGTTAAACCCAATTTCCTACTTAAAACTGCTTTAGTAACTAAGGGAGAAGAGAGAAAATAATTTCTGGATCCTGAGCCCTTACGGGGAGTGAAAACAGTAGGAAATAAGTGAAGGAAAAGGGCTGTCTTTGAGACACTACAACCATTCCTTGTACTTCCATAGAACAGAACAGAACATTCACATAGGGTTTCCAAGGTTATAATCTTGACTGAAATGAACTTCCACAATTTTTTTTCCCTCCCTTGGGGTAGGTGGTGGGTTTGAACTCTTGATCATTTGGTTAGCAGATGAGTGCTTTGACTATGACAGCACAAAGGATCCTTACCAATTCTGTCAATTGCAAATCTTTTAAGATTAATTTAAACATGTGGACAACTCCAGTGTTAGGCTTTGTTTCTTTAAAAAAATAAAATTAGTTCCATGAAGAATCTTTTTTTCCTGCTTCTGAGGACTTTTAAAAAGTGTTTCTTGTTTAAAAATACCAACTCAAACTCAAGTCATTGCAGTTGAGTCTAAGTCAACTCACAGCAACCTCTGGTGGGTTTCACAGGCTGTCATTTGCATGGGAGAAGATTGCTCATCTTTCTCCCGAAAAGCCGATGGATTCGAACTGGCAGAGAGGCACTGTCTTGGTTAACTCTTCTACTCTCTATGAACTACACCACCACAATTCCCCTACAGAGGTGGATAGGTTAAAGGGACTGTAATCGTGCCTACACGCAGGTCGGCAGATGATGTGTCTAAGTCACTTTAGAATGTGCTATAAATACATCCATGTACACAGCTGCATCAATGGGGGGGAATGCTTTATAATCTTCTTAATCATAACCACACAACATGAAAGAATGAGTTGCTGGATCTGGGGCCTGGAGACCATGCGTGGTCTTGGGAGACATCAATGTCAATTAGTATGACAGTCCACACTGCAAGCAGCCATCTAAGATGCAACAATTGGTTTCTCCCTATCCAGAATAAAGAAGAAGAAGAAGCAAAGATGGACTGAAAGAATTCGCTCACAGGGATAAAGGTCCAAGCTTCACTTCCTCAATCCTGAAACAACAATTAGATGATGGTGTCCAGTTACCAGCACTGGGCACTCTGAAATGGGCCTCGGGAGAAGACCCTGGACAGAGTATGTGCAGATGGGGGACAAAACTCAAAACATGAAAAAGACCAGGCCCACTGCTCTTGTATGGATTGGTGGATCCCCTCAAGACTATAACCGTCAGTCACGCTTCAAACCGGAGCAAAACTCACCCCCGAGAGTCAACTGTCAGCCGAAGAAGAGGCCTAGAAGGTCACCAGGAACGCCAGGATGCATGCACACTTTAGAAAAGCAAATTAAACAAGGTCCAAAGAGTAGCATTTGCCCAATTATAGTGCTCTGAAGGCTGGAAGGGACAGGATAAGAGGGCAGATGTCATCAGGATTACAAGGAAGAAGTGGGGGAAGTGGGACGGCATCGTGGGGATCCCAGTTAATGTTGTACAACAAAATGAGCATGAACAGGAGAATGAAAAAGAACAATCTGCTTTGTAAGTTTTCATTCAAAACACATTTAAAAAAAAAAGAAAGTGTTCTTATTTAAACAAGGCCAACCTTTCTGAAGTTCTCCTGAACGCTCCACTCTCCAACTTTGCAGGAAAGCAAATGAATGTGCCTCCAAGGCGCCCTGACCTGCGGAGCCTCCCCCGTGGAATCTCTGGACTGGAAAACTCATGCTCCAAAGGCCAGGGCAAGCAATTCGTCATGCCCTTCTTTTTCAGAGCCCCAAAGAGTAAACATTCACAGAGCCTGTTTCTCTTATTAAGGAAGCAATATTTACCAACAAATCGTTTCTTTCCGGCCAGATCAAATTCTTCTTGGGGGAAAGAGCTGATGGGTCCTTCCGGGGAAATGATCCTCAGTGGGTCTGCTGTAGTTGGCACAGGCTTGGTGGTGGCTGGAGGCTTCACAGTCTCAAATTCATAATCTGAAAACAACAGGAAGGTTTTGTAATTGAGAATTTACAGAAAATCAGTACTACTTTTAGTCAAACAATACCTTTTTTAAGATTAAGTGCTAGATTGAAAAAAATCAAGAAACCAAAAACAAAATGAAAAACTAAAATAATTTTTATGACTATGCATAATTTGTTTCTAATAAAATAGCATTTTCTTCCTTATTTAACTCCCTCAGAAGAACAGCTACGGAAGAAGGAAGCCAGGAGCACCAGGAAAAGCAGGCCTGGGATGGGCTGGCAGTCTTGGAATTGGCCCAGGGTAGGGCTCTTACTCTCCTGGCCTGGTCCAAGGCATTCTCCTCCAAATATTTTTCCCTTTTTGAAACCAAAAAGACTCATATTATAAGATAGGCCTGACAAGTCTTCTCTTCACCTACCTCTTTTGTTGATAGTTGTCTATAAGCCACCCACGACTCATAGCGACCCTATGAACAACAGATCTGAACGTTGCCCTATCCTACACCAACCTCATGAGCTCGGTCATGTTCAAGTCCATTATCACAGTTATTGTGTCAATTCATCTTGTTGAAGGTTTTCCTCTCTTTCACTGACCTTCTCCCCCCCCCCCGACCTTTCCCAAGACAATGTGTTTTTCCAAGGACTAACCCCTCCTAACAATATGCTCAAAGTATGGGAGACAGAATTTCACCATCCTCTAAAGAGCAGTCTTGTTACACTTCCTCCAGGAGTAATTCGTTTGTTCTTTTGGCAGTCCGTGGGAGCCAATACTCTTTGCCAACATTATAATTTAAAAGCACCGATTCAGGGAAGGGAATGGGTTTAATCATGGCAAGAGAATGAATTCATTAACTCTATGAAAATAAACAAATCTCTGCTATCCTTTCAAGTGGTCAAAGGTCATTTTAAAAGGTGGCTAGTTAGTGTTTTCAAGAAATGAGGATGGAAAGACCTCATCTCGTCATCTAGTTGACTTTGGACTTGTATGTTTGGTCATCATGCTGGTCGGCAAAACAACGGAAGCCCTCTATTGGTGTGGGCCGACACGATGACCACAGGCATGGACTGAAGTGTATCCACCCTCAGGAAGGTGGGCGCAGGATATGGGAATGCTTCATTCAGTTAAACGTAAAGTTACTGGGAGTCCTCGCTCACTGAGGGACAACTAATAAATGTTTCCAAACATTGAGAAACCTTCTTTCACTTTCTCACAAGTTGATTTTCTTTAGTCAGTGTTTTATTAAACCCTTAAGATTTAACTCCTGCATCAAGCTTGACTACAATTGCTTCACATATGGAATTGCCCCATACATTTGTAATTTAAAATAATGGGCTGTAGGCCACAGCAGGCTACACAATTCCCACAAGTGAGGACACTGAAGTCCTAGAGGTCAGAGGCCACTGGGCTGGAGACTGAGTTCCCTCCCACAGGGACTTCTTTGATGGCAGAGCTGACTAGGGAACACACCACGGAAACCACCATCAGACCAGGGTTATCTGCAGACAGTTGCGATGGGGTTGAGGCCAGCACTTGAGAGGGCTTTCAGCAGCTGATTTTGGGGAGTAGGCCACCAAGCTTTTCTTCCCAGGCTCCTCTGCGTGGACTGACACCTGCAAGCTTTCATGTAGCAGCCTAGTGCATTACCTATACACACCATGCTGGGACATTAAGTTCCATGTAAGTTACTGGCCCAGAGATGGTTCAAGACTTTTTAAATCCTTAATCCTGTAAACTCAGCCTAATGGATATTTGCATAAGAATCACTACATCTCCAGCATCAGGCATTTCTTGCACTTGGTCAAACAGGGGAAATGAACAGGAAGAAGAACACAAGGGGAAGCAGCTGAGATCTCAGTACAGCTGAGTCTGTACAGCCGAGTCAGTACAGCCAAGCCAGCACAGCTGAGTCCATACAGCAAAGTCCTTACAGCAAAGTCAGTACAGCTGAGATCGCAGTACAGCTGAGTCAGTACAGCAGAGTCAGCACAGCAGAGTCAGTACAGCAGTCAGTACAGCTGAGTCACTACAGCTGAGTCAGTACAGCTGAGTCAGTACAGCCAAGTCAGTACAGCTAAGACCTCAGTCCACTGAGTCAGTAGAGCTGAGACCTCAGTACCACAGAATCAGTACAGCTGAGACCTCAGTACCACAGTCAGTATAGCTAAGTCAGTACAGCACAGTCAGTATAGCTGAGACCTCAGTACAGCAGAGTCCACACAGCTTAGTCAGTACAGCCCAAGTCAGTACAGCTGAGACCTCAGTACAGCAGTCAGTACAGCTGAGTCAGCACAACTGAGACCTCAGTACCACTGTGTCAGTACAGGTGAGACCTCAGTATAGCAGAGTCCATACAGCAGAGTCAGTACCGCTCAGGGCATGGAGGTCCTGATTTCCTGGGAGCAAGACTCAGGAGGGTGAATGCTGGGTGGGGGTTTGGTGTGGAAGCTGCCCTTCAAACCTGGCAGTTGCTTTCTTTGGATCATACTGTATTGGGGGGTAACTTGGGAGGACAGTGGTAGTGAGGGGTAACAGTCCCTAGTCCCTCAGCAGGCCTTTGGCATGGCCAATGGACTCAGGGTTCTGAAGCACAAGTTAAGCAAAGCCATGCATTTCATAATGGACACAGGATCTTCTAATCAGCAAAGAAATCATCCCCAGCGGTGTTTCAAAATCAGTACCTTCATCATACACAACGTAGGCTTCCTCCGTGGGCATCTCAGTCTCGCTCTCCAACCCCGAGAACTCATCTGTGGGAGGAAGCGATGCTGGATTACCAGGGGTGCATCTTTCCCAATTCTCTCCAGTATGTAACAGTCCCACCCGCACCCCAGAATGTCCACGGGGTCAAGGTGCCAAGGACACAGGCTTCTCCGCTTAATCAGAAAGGAGACCCATGTCTCCTCTGCTCTGGGCCCCTTTACTTTTATGAAATGTTTTACACTTTTACATGAGTACCTGCTGTTGCTAACAGAAAGTAATCCAAAAGGCCTTTCATTCATATATAGGTGCTGGTGTGAAAAGCGAAACTGAGGTCAGCACTTTGCTGTGCCCACCTAAATCAGTGCTAATTGGTTCTTCATTTTAAGCTATTTATGAAAGATTCCAAAGGAACCATTTACTCTTGGGTAATGAGAACATTGAATGAAATCAAGATTCTCTCTCCTTGGGCCGAGAAGCACTATCATCAGCATACTCTCTCTTGGGGCCACAGAGAGCTGTTTAAAGCTCCTCCCACCACCTCCCTACCCACATCCCACCTGGCCTGCTGCTCTCTGGACCCCGGAAGGGCCCTGGGATCCAGCAGGCAGGTAGAGGCTGGGACTCGTTGTAGTAACAGCAATCACTTCACCTCTCACCCTCCTCAGCCTTACAGCTCTACAGAAGGTTCTAGAACCAGCCCTTCCTCCTTTCTCCTGTGCTTCACCATTCTCTCCTCCCAACCTGTGATCAGCTAGACTGGTTTCCTTCATTTTCATAAAGTTTACAGATAAAATTCCAATAATCATACATTCCTCTCCACAGGCAGTTTGCACTTTAAGGGAAAAATTGCTAAGTAGTCTATGATCACTACAGAACTATACTTCAAAAGAAATACACAGAATTTTAGATGGGTTACTTTGGCCACCTCCAGGTACTCTTTATGATAAGAACTATATTAAAATTCTCATGATACTTGAGCACATGTTATGATACATGGTCAAGCAAGATGCATGATTTAACCATAAAAGAGAGGGGCGTTTGGTTTAGGGGGTTTTTGTCTCAGTCCTCTGAGTAATTTGAGCGGAAATCTTTTTGAAGAGGTGTGATGGAATCAATTGTTAGTTCTCTGCTGGGGGAATGTTGTTGCAGCTGTGGAAAAAGGAAAATGACATCGTGCAGTTGATAAATTCTTGAGGCAAAAGACTATCTAACTCAAATGTGAGGGGAATTCTTCTCTATTACCCTTAATCCCACAGCAATCACAGAGAACTCTTTCAGATGGAAACCCAATGCACCCTTAATGGGAGAAATGACTACAAATGATTGACTGCTTCTGTACACCAGGTATTTTATGCACATAGTATTGAACTTGTGGGAGAAGGATGGGCAATCTCCTGCTGTGCGATTTCCTGCCTCTGAAAATCCCAGAGGGTCAGCTATGGGTCGGTTTCGACTTGATGGTCCACAACAACAACACTACTGGAGTTAACTCTGAAACAAGGCTGTGAGATATGTGGAGAAATAGTTACATTTTTAAGTACCAAACACCCAGGCTTGGAGAAGTTTACCCTCATGTCTCAAGCCACAGAGCTGGGAAATGACAGAGCTAAATACAATCTGAACTTCAAGCCCTCTGGCTCCATGACTGTGACCTCTAGATTTCATAAAACTGCCTCTACTTTCTCCACGTTGAACGAACCCATCACGGAGTTTGCAACACTTAAGGAATTGTGGCGAATCATCAGCTGAGTGCCAGGAGGGAAAACTGAAGTAGAAAGTGTACAAACTCTCCCCACCAAAAAAAATCAGAGGACCAAGTCTGCAATTTTCTACTGTTATGGAAATCTGTCATTCTCCAGAAATATACCGATATAGTACTTTTTCCAGCCTTTTCAAGCCTGGTTTGAATTAACATCATGGCATTTATGGGGCCAAAACAAACTCAGCAAATGACAGAGGCAACTTCACATTGTATGTCCCCCATGTATATTTCACAGGAAGAAGCCCTGCTCCCCACTCAGACCCAATGAGACACTCAGCACCTGTTGTGGTTATTGCTGTTGTTGTCTACAGTCAAGTCAGCACCAACCCATAGCTGACCCTCAAGCGGGTTTTCAAAGGCAGTTAATCACAGGGGAGATTGCCCATTCCTCTCCGTGGAGCAACTGGTGACCTAGAACCATGCACCTTCGGGATGGCAGAGCAGCTTCTTGCCACTAGGTGCAGACCTCAGGTCTTCTGATGCGGCCAAGGAATTGGCAGGAGATGTTGTAAATGGTCCACACTTCAGGGGTGAGCAGAGTCCTGTCATGTGCAATGATTAAAAACAACTTTTCCCTAGGCCCTTCCCACTCTGAAGTTGGGAACCAACACAATTTTCCTCTGGGCTGGGTCACAGGTATTTACTGACTGAGTCACCTGAAATTTGACGTTTCCTGTGCTTCCTGGCCTACCGTTTTCTCTCCCTTGTCAATTCACCTGAGGAATCTAGTCTTGTTTTCCCTCGTCATTTGTTCATTTTTATTTTGCCGAGCCTCTGCTTTCTAGCTAGCATATCTGGTGCTGTGAACAGAATGCACGGCTGCCGACCTGAAGGGTAGAGGAAACGTGGGAGAAGCCTCCTGGTCTACGTCCCCAGAACCAGCTACCAGAAACCCCGTGGCACAGGGTTCTACGCTGACAAGTGCGAGTTGACAGCAACCAGTTTTATTCTTTCTCTAGCCAGTGGGTAGAAATAATAACAGTGGGTAAATGATGCAAGTTCTGCATCCTAGAGTGAACATGAAGGCGGAAAGATGTACTGTCTCCTCCGTGTCTTGCTGGTGTTGGGTATCTCCTCAAGGTTAGATCTCCTGGGCTCACGCTGAGTCACAGAATGATGCCATCTCCCTGCACCCAGAGGTCACGTCTGGAGATGAGTGGTGATCAGCTCCTCTGCTAAGAACACACCCTGCTGAGCAATCCAGTGCTTCTTCTCATATCAGACAATGGCAGGCATCCCTGTTCTAGAACAGTGCCATCTTGAGCCCAAGTAAAAATGACTTAGAAAAGGATGCTTTTTTCAAACCAGTTTTGTGAGAAAATGAACAGCAGAATTAACCACACCTGAATATAATTGTGACCCACTGGGAACTACCCAGAGTGGATGCGATGTTGACTTAGTATCAACTTCGCAGACTTCCTCCTCTTCACTGGGAAGGCGACCCTAGCCATTTACCACGCTGGTGTGCTTCATTCCAGGCTGCTGTTAATGTTGTGTGCCGTCGAGTCAGAACCAACCCTCCGGCGGGTTTTCAGAGGCAGTAAATCACACAGGAGGAGACTGTCGACCCTTCTCCTTTGGAGCAGCTGGGGGATTCAAAGCACGTACCTTTGGGATTATAGTAAAGCATCTTACCACTAGACCACCAGAGTTTCTGGACAGTTTATCCAAATAGTCACAGAAATGAATCTAGAATGTTATCAAGGAATTAGATCCTTAGCTTCAGAGATATTCCAAAATGAAAACAAGAAAATTCTCAAGAGAAGCTTAGAGAGGGTAAGGGACAGTCATTTGAAAATCCAGACTATATCTTCAAATTGCAGACTGGTCCAGTCAAGTGGATTTTCAATAATCTCCACTGTGCTTCCTGTCTCCAGAGAGTGATGTGATGGGCTGAACTGTTTTCAGTGATGACCGATTTTATTTTTCCAAACATGCAACAAGGTCATGTTACAAATTCTTGAAGGTGCTCAGCTGACTCATAACATTTCCAAACACACAGTATCATCAGGGCTGCTGTAGAAAGCGAACCTGAAAAACAAAGATCACTGACTTTTAACAACTTCTCAATGAAAAAACGGACCTGTAGCTTTACATTCAGTTCAGATATTCAAGGATGCAAGCTGCTTCCAAGAGGAAAAGGAAATGAGGTAGAAGGCATTATTATCTCATCTGCAAAGACTTTATTGTTGAATAGAGAAGGGATATCAAGCAAAGACAGTTAAACAGAACAGAGAGAGGTGAGGGAGTCCTGGCATGCTGCACAATGTTTGGGGCTGCTAACTGAAAAGTGGGCAGTTCAAATCCACCAGCTCCTCCTTGGAGAGAAAGATGGCCAGAGTCTCTGCCTATAAATATTTACAGTTTGGAGACTTGAGGGAGGGTCGCTATGAGTTGGAATTTATTTGACAGCAAGGACATAACAACAAATTTTATGTGTGTGTGTGCGTGTGTGTGTGTTTTTGTATATACATACATACATATATATATATATGTTTGTATGTATGTGTATATATATATGTTTGTTTGTATGTATGTATATATGTTTGTATGTATGTATATGTATATATATGTAAGTGTGTGTGTATGTATATGTGTATGTATGTTGTTGTTGTGCACCATAAATTAAGGAGCGGAAAAGAAGATTTCACAGGGCAGCTTGGGAAGAAAAAGCAAAGTATTATAATGAAATGTGCAAAAAGCTGAAGTGGGAAAATCAAAAGAGACGAACTCACTCAGCATTTCTTAAGCTGAAGAAACTGAAGAACAAATTCAAGCCTTGACTTGCAATACTTAGGGATGCTACAGGCAGAATATTGAATGATCCAAGAAGTATTAAAAGGAAATGGAAGGAGTACACAGAGTCACTGAACCAAAAAGAATTGGCTGACACTCAAGAATTTATGAACAAGCTTAGGATCAAGAAGCAATGGTGATGAAGAAATTTTAAGCTACTCTCAAGGAATTAGCAAAGATCGAGGCCCCAGGATTTGAAAGAATACCAATTGACATATTTTAACAAAAAGATGGTGTCCTGGAGGTGCTCATCAGATTATGCCAAGAAATCTGGAGAATAACCACCTGGCCAACAGACTGGAAGAGATCCATATTTATTCCCATTCTAAAAAAAGGTGACCCAATAGAGAGTAGAAGTTTCAAAACAATATCACTTATATCACATGCAAGCAAAATCCTGCTGAAGATTATAAAAAAAAATGACTGAAACAGTACACTGACAGAAAACTACCAGAAATACAAGCTGGGTTTAGAAGAGGCTGAGGCACT